TAAAAAATATTATTTTAATAAATTATTTATAAGTATTTCATAAAATTTAATTTTAATTTAAAATATTAATAAATTAAATATTTATTTTAATTAAATGTATAAATTAATGATGATGAGTTTTAATTTAATGATAGTTTTTAAAAGGTTATATTGTAACTTTCAACATAATTTATAGATACTTCATATTCATATTAATATTGTATTCCATTATATTAATTACTTTAAATTTTATTACATGTTTATTTCGATTCCGAATTACATGTTACTAATTATTTCTTAATTAAAATCAACATTTGTAATGGATACCAAAGACCTTCAGACCACCACTAGGTATCATTTAAATGATGTTCAACCAATTGTCGTTGTAGCCTATCTTTTTTTTTTCAAAATAAAATAAAATAAAATAAGAGGCATGATAATGTCAATGGATTACTATGTTGTGTTTTAATATTGTTACATGAAACATACATCTATCAACTAAACTTTATTTATTTACTAAATTTTATTAATTTATTTATATATTATGTCACAAGAAGGAGATCATTATCACCACAAAAGTTAACATGTGCAGATAAAGATACTTTGAAAACTCTTATGTTGAAGGGTTTAGTTGATCAAGAGGTTTATGTTGTGAGCATTGACTTTTGATTTTTATTTAACTTATCAATTTAACTTAATTTTATTTGACTTATCAATTTAACTTATAAGATATTGTTTCCATAAATGAAATTTCAATGGATATGATTAACTTAGTCATGTGCATGCTAACAAATGACAAGCATTTCCTATCTTCATTTGTTGGATTTTGGTTTTTGCCAACCATTGTGGTGGTAAAAATAACTTCTAATAATGTGCAAGTAAATTGATTTAAGTTTTTGTATTAATTTTTCTACTATTAATCATATTTACTCTGATTTTAAGTAATATATTCTAGGTGGACTAAACCACCAATCAATGTCACGCAAAATTATGAAAATAATTATATGTGCATGATAGCTTACTTGACAAAGATTTTTAAATTTTACCAACACAAATGTTTATTGCCACAAGTTTTGAAAATTAAAAAATTATACATAAATCATTGTTTTAAAATTGTCTTAAATTAGATTTTTCTTCCCATCAACTTGAGTTGGTTTCTTCTCATTGTTGATGTGAAGGGGAGAAACTTGTATTGCTTGACTCAAAACGTGGCCTTGAAAGAAGTGATACTAGAAGAAGATATGTGAAAAAATGGCATCAAATTTAAACTACTCACATCTACATAATTTCATACTTATGATAACTACCTAAACAATTTCAATAAAATCTCTAGGTTATGTTTCTTGGGGAAATGTTGATGCATCAAACATTTTATCGCACCATGATTTTTATTGTCAAACCACAAGTTTCTAACTACAGTTTGGTCGACCCAAAATGATATTGAGCAATAACCTCCTAGTTCGTATTCTACTCATTTTCCCCCATTTTTCCCTTTTACATCGTATTAAATTTTTCTTACTAAATATATTTGGTTTCACTAATTCAAAAATTATTGGGGCATATGGGTATGTAAATGGATGAGGGAATGCAGGTGATTGAAGGAGTATAAGATCCATGTAATATTCTTTTAAAAAATTTAAGTCAATTATATTATAATCTTTTAAATCTTGTATTATAATTTGTTTTTATCATAATTCAAGTTGATAGTGAGGCAAGGATGAAACTTGTATTGGATTTGATACTTAGCTCTTACAACACCAATAAGGCTCAATTCATTAAGTTGGTAGCTACTAACTAGAAAAATATCGAGGATAAGAACAAAACACTTGTTCTTACGTAATGTCGTTTTATATTGTTGAGTTGTATGTTTTTTGAATCTCTGTTTGTGTATGATCTTTTGAATAGTTGGGTATCTAGACTTATCATTTTGGATGATGTCTAGTGCATTATCATACTTTGTTATGTTTTGGTATGTAATGGACTTACAACTCTTACTCTTTATGTTCATAAATCATTGTGTTGGAAATGATTATATTTGGTAGCTCAAGAATTTTATCTACATTGCTATACATACATTTTGGTTTTTAACTAATTTGTGATTCTTGTATAAAAAGTCATTATTCTAATACTACCAATAAAACAAGAACGAAAAATCAATAGTAACAAGGATGGTCACAAGGTTAAATATATATAGCACTGATTCCTTATGATATTTTATAGCACAATCGAAGACTATAACAACATAACCAACAAAAAAAGAAATTGCAACAATGTTTATGTTCTAACATAATCGTTGTCCTTTTCTATCAAATTCACACGTGTATAAACGTTGCTTGCCAAAAAGTCATGGTTACACTCATAACATAAAAGTACAACAAAGGGGGTGCACCTCAAATTGATACAAATCCTTCAATATCCTTTGTCTATCATTCGATGATTTCATATTGGGTTGAATTTGGTGACATTATTGCTCTTGGTTCGCCTTCTACATCTTCATCTGGCAATGAGTTCCTCAAATTCAACATATACCAATGTGAACCAAATTTCACCATTTTTTGGTTCATCATCTATTAAAGTACAAGTTATTTGAACATGGACTACAGCTCAATACTACAACGAAAAACTAATTAGTTATTTGAATATGGTTCTCTTTGATTAAAAAATACCTTCAAAATTCTTTATTATTTCTCTACAAAACTAATTTTCATCATGCTTAACTACATTGTTCACAACTTGCACATATTTCTTCCCATCCTAATTTTTCCCTCAAATTCTAATTTTAGGGAAGTAAAATACAGACTACAATTAGACATGACATCTTTAATTAAGATCCTTCGACTTGATATTCAAAAAGGACATGTATATACTTTAATTTTATTTTATTTTTTTGCTAAAATTCTAATTTGGTCCCGTATAATATTTTTAATGTTCAATTTAGTCCCACTTTAAATTTTGGGTTCAATTTAGTCCCACCTGTCAAAAATGTTAACAATGTTTACCTTTCATCTAAATTTTTCAAACGTCATTTAGGAGTGTCTATGTAATTGACTTAACATATTTTTTATGTAATTCACACTGTGGGAATCACGGGCGTGATTCTCACGACTCTTAAATGACGTTAAAGAAATTTAGATGGAAGGCAAATATTGTTAGCATTTTTGACAAATGAGACTAAATTGAACCTAAAAATTAAAGTGTGACTAAATTGAGACTTTAAAATATTATAAGAGACCAAATTAAAGTTTTAGCCTTTTTTTATATTTTATCAGTAATATGGGTATATGAATTTAAAGTCACAATAATTATAGTTTGATTTTTAATCAACACATTATTGCTACATTCCATCAATATGAGAGAGGTTCATAAACATTAGTTTAACTCCCATGAAAATCACTGATATTGATGCCAATATAAACCACCATGCAAATTACATACTAGGTAAATTTTTTTCTACTCCATTGTTAAATTAGTTGATGATAGAGTTATACATATTCTAATTTAATCATGTTTATATAAAATGTTGTCAAGGTCTTTAGTGTAAGATCAAATATCCAAATTTTAATCATGTCTATACTTAGATGTTTTGGGGTGGTTAGCATAAGATTAAATATCCAAAATTTAATCATAAATGAAAGACTCAAAGTAGAATTTACCTAGAAATAACATATGACATATATGGGTTCACTCCATATGTGACACAAACTACTCACACGAAAATAATAAGGTATTAAAATGTATTGAATCACAATATTATACAAGTTTCAAAGTAACGTTCATAGAGTTCTGATGGAAATCTAGAGTAGATTCATGGACTAATCTACTCTTCAAGACCTTCACACATCCACTTGGCTTCCTTGAGATCCTAGACTCCAATTGAGAGTTGAAGATGCAACAATGAAGAAAGGAATGTCACACTCCAATCTTCCTTGAAGATGGAAGAACAATCACAAAGCACACAAGGAAGGTTTCCTTGCTATATGTCGTAACCGGGATCACGACGGGATGACGCTAACATTTTACAACTATTTCACAGGTGCTTTCTAGTGACTTGAGAGCAGCCAAATTTTATGCCTATTAAACCTTAATTACCAGTGATACAAGTTGATACTCAAAGGGACAACTTACCAGCATTGGTGCAGTTTCTGAAAGCTCAGTTAAAAATGTACCTTGGCCAGCCATTATATTATCTTTGGCCCCCATTCTTTGTCCGCAATGGATTAATTAGTTGTGTGTATTTCATGAAGCTTTATTATCCCTTTTATTTGGCTTGTTATGCGTCACTGATGTGTTTGAATCTGATCTTATTAAAGCATTGTTTCTTTCTGAATATGTACTTTTGATGGTGAGTAGTCATCAGCCACACTAATATTAATTTCAAACTCGTGAAGGATCTTTATCAATTTATACAAATTTGCTAGATATTGGATATGCTGATATGCATTTTCTTACATATATAGTATTGATTTTAGAAGATGATTTATCTGTTTACTGCCTAATTTTTTATTCTTTTTTTTTGAAGGCTGATTTGAAGAAGTATAGTCAGAAATAATCAAAAAATAAGCATGATTTTTTTTTTAAGAAAAAAATGCAATCTTCATCGATTCTCAAGAAAACCAATGTAGATTTATGCGTAAATCTACATTGGTTTTTCAAAATCGATGTAAAAATGTATACATTTTCTACGTCACTCTATTTTACATCAGTTTTAGAATCGATGTAGATGACTTTAGAAAATCGATGTAAAATATGCATCTTGTAGTAGTGGTTACACATATTAACCCTAGTTACCTATTCCCTTCCCTTAAAAAAATCATCATAATAATAGCAATAATATAAGACATTATAATATTCTTATACTCGCATATAATTAATTTAAAAAATTATCAAAATATTTTATTTTATAAATAAAATGCTCCATAAAATCAACCCATTAACATTTTAAAGTAAAGCATTTATAATTAATCAAATTAAAAAACATAGGGTGTTACAACTTTCCCCCTTTTAGGAATTTGTCCCAAAAAATACGTGAAGAGAACAAAAATGGGTAAGACTCCTTTATCTGACTCTCCTACTCCCAAGTAGAATTTTCCTCAAGATGTCCTCCCAAAAGGCTCAAACAATTTTAACCAGAGGAATCACCTTACCTCTTAGTTGTTTCACTTTTTTGTTATCAAATTCAAGGACATGAGAAGGGTCCTGTATATACTTTCTAAGTTGAGAAACATGAAAAACATTATGTAAATTTGAAAAGGATAGGGGTAAGACTATTTGGAAGGTTACATCATTAACCTTCTTAAGGATTTGGTAAGGACTAATGAAACATAGAGTAAGCTTGCGAGACTTTAGTGCTCTACCAACTCCAGACTAAGGAGTTACTTTGAGAAATACATGACCTTCCTTTTTAAACTCAATATCCTTTTTTCTCTTATCATGGTAGCTTTTTTGCCTACTCTAGGTTGCTCTCATGTTGATACTCAAAGGGACAACTTACCAGCATTGGTGCAGTTTCTGAAAGCTCAGTTAAAAATGTACCTTGGCCAGCCATTATATTATCTTTGGCCCCCATTCATAGGTGCTTAAGGAGAAGCAATTCCCTAGCTTTTTGACCCTAGAGATGAAGAAAGAATTTTCTAAATATAGAAACCTCATATATCTCAAAAGTGAAGGAATATACACAACTAAGGAGTATTTTTATAAGCTTAGGAAGTGTACCAAGGAAGATAGGTTAACCTAAGGTTTAAACTAAACCGTGGTATGGTTAGTTTAAACCTTAGGCACCATATTTGAATTCAAAAATTCAAATTTGGTTCCATGACCTAGCATTCCTTGTGCTCCCATGTGCTAGTTGTATGTAGATATAATTTAGATTACATTTGGAGGTCATTTGGATCATGCCATGTGCGCCACCTCTAGGTTGGTAACATGGTGCCCAAATGCACCCTAAATGTGATCCAACTTACACCTAAATGCAATCTTCACATGAAATGAAACTCCTTCCTATCTACTTAGCCCAAAATACAAGACCTAAATGAAAATCCTAATCTACACAGCCAAAATACAAGGCCCACAAAATACAAGCCCACATGGGCCCAAGTCCTATACTATATGGGCTTCAAAGTATAGCCCAGCTCAAAAGTAACTTGGGCTTCCCATCTTTTATGCTAGCCTAATCCTCTCGTACCCTCCTGGCCATAGCCCTAATAGTGGGTCCCCTAGCTAGGCCTCTACCATTATTCCCTCCCTCTTAAAAAGGATTTATTCTCAAATTTGTAAACTTTTCCTCATCATTAATAGTCCTTACAAATGAAATAAAATCACAAACATTAAAAGTAGGGTTGACTCCATAATCATTTGGAAGGCCTAATCTATTTGCATTGTTATTATTCCTCTAAAGGACTTGGAAAGGTCTATCTCCTCTAGGATTAAGTTTAGACTTCCTCTTGAAAAGAAACATTTCCTATTCCTAAGGTGAAGCCAAACCCAATCTTTTTCATTAAAGACTACCTCTTTCTTGCCTCTAATTTTATATTTCATGTATTCCTCTATTTGTTGTTGAATTATTGATATCTAACCTTTTTATATGTAACTTTTTAATAAATTTAGCCCTAAACACCCTTTCTTTATGTATAAAAGATGTAACATCTGGAAGAGGTATCAAGTCTAAAGGTATAAGAGGATTAAACTCATATACAATCGCAAATGGAGAAATCTTGGTTATAGGCAAACTCTATGTAAGGCAAGTACTCATCCCATGACTTGTCGTTTCTTTTTAATACTGCCTTCAACATCTGTTTGCCTATCGGTCTGAGGGTAACAAATGGTAGGAAATACTTAGTTCCTAATTTTTCCCAAAGAATTCGTTAAAAATGACTTAGGAACTTTGTATCTCTATCTAAAATTATAATTTTGAGTAGTTCATGAAGTCTTACCACCTCTTTGAAAAATAGCTTAGTAATGTGGTTGACATTATATACTTTGTGAGAGGGTTTCATTTTTTTTAATGAAAGTCGTGCTTAATGACTTTCATTTTTTATTAATTTTTTAACAACAAAATTGTATTTTATTCACTATTTGCATCTTTTTGTTTTTTTTGTTAAAATAATATTCTTATGTAATTTTTTTTTAAAAAAAGTTGTGCTTCCAAAACACAAATTTTGAGTTTTTTAAAAGAAAATAAAAAAAATAAAATTCATATTATTCAAACACAACTTATGCTATTTTTGAAATTTTTAAAAGCTTACCAATTTCAGAATTTTTTTTTAAAAAAAGAAGAAAGTGTTACCCGACACAAATAACTGACATAAGCATAACATTAGCGGAAGCGAAACTCTTTCTCCTCTTGTGCAGGATAACAATTTGTCCACTGTCTTGGTGTCTCATTCTTCTCCCATTCCAAACATTTTTAAAGAAGACATGTCCATGTCCATGTCCATGTCCATGTCCACCCTTCCCTCTTCAACCTTCCCAAACTCCAATCTCTCCCTCTCTCCCTCCTCCCAATCCCCAAAGCTCCCTCTCTTCCACAACCCCACATCCATTCCCAAACTCCTTCCTTTCCCCCACTCTCTCTCCCTCTCTCCACGCCTCACCCCTCTTCTCTGCAAGTCCCCCCAGCCAGAGGCCCAAGACGAGTGGCTCCACAAGCTTCCTGATAAGTCCAAGCCTCTCTACTCCCACAGCCTCCCCTGCATCGAGGCCTGGCTCCGCAGCCTCGGCTTCTCCCAGGCCAAGGACGATAGGGCCCTCTGGCTCGTCCACAACCCCGATTGGCACGCCCACCTCTCGCTCGATGTCACCGATCTCTACATAAGGTACCTCTCTCTCTCTCTCTCTCTGGTGCTTCTTTTCTTTTCGGTTTTCATGTTTCAGCTTATGTCAGTGTTTCATGTTTGTTTGTTTGTTTGTTTCCTTGTTCTGTGTTTTGCTGAACGGTTTGTGGAGGTCGGATTTTGTATTTCGAGTGTTTTATGATGAGTAGTGTCTTAAATTTTGGATTTTTTTTTCCTAATTCAACCCCACAAAACTAAGGTTGCCCTTGACTTATATATACTACTTTTTATCACTAGTGGAGGTGGATGTTCAATACACATTATGAGAACTAGACATAACTAGACATATTGAGTGTGAAGTTTATAAAATTGAATATTTGCAGACATATTTTGGTAGTTTGATAACGGTATGATAGAATTAGACATTTCGAATGTGAAGATTGTAAAACTGAACTTGTGTAGGCATATTTAGGTGTTTTGGTAATGATTTGATATCGGGTGGTTTGGTAAATTAGAGAATTATTAGTAGAATAGTGAGTGACCTGATAAGTCTAACAAAAATTGCTAGAGTGGACTTTGATACCATATTAGAATGTGAGATTTCCAATGTAATGGATATTGTAGGATGTGGATGGAATGAAGAAAAAGAAGGTGGAGGGAGTGATAGATGTGAATTGATGTAATGAAAAAGAGAGGGAGGGATAGGGAGAAGAATGAATGGATATCCTCTTGGTGCTGAACAGGTCCACCAAGAGAGGGATACACCTAAAGAAGAGGAGTGTTAGTTTTTTTTTTTTTTTTTTTATTGTTTATCTCCTGTGCGTGTATCTCTTTCCTACTGGAACTGTTGGAGATGATACATACTTTAGAAGAATAGAGGGGAGAGGAGATGAAAGAGAAAGTGAGTGAATGTTAATCACAATCCTTTTTTTTTTTTTTTTTTTAAGGGTTTGTTTGTTTGATTTCCTTTGAATTTTTTAAGTGGCATTTGCTTTGTGTGTTGTGATGGTGCGTAATTGAAAAAATAACTCAAGTAGTTGTCCATATTATATACATCTGCAAAAGGACTGAGAGAAGAGTTGGCAAGGTAATTGATGTTTAACAGCAAAAAGTACCCAGATAACAGTTGCTAAAATTCCAAATGCTATTCTCAATAAATTAAAAGAAATCAGACACCGTTGTTTTAGAGTCACGTTCTTTCTAGAATAAACATATCATACATTCATGAATTGCTTTCAAATTTTAAAAGATTGACAATAGAATGTGTTACACGGTGAAAGATAAGAGGCTTCTTTTTTTATTAAAAGTGAAAAACTGATAATGTGCATTTTGAAGATGAGAAAGAAGCAACTATGGTGATGAAATTAGCAAGATGTTGAGGTTTCTTATTTTATGTTTCTTGCCTCGCTGATTGGATGTAATAGAATGATATTTACTCAGACATCTATTGAATTTGTGAAAAAAATAGTGATTGAATTCTTCTCGGAGATTCTGCTGATTTTAGTGATGTCATCGAAGCCGAATATAAATGTTGTGCATTTTTGTGACTAGCTTGTTGAAATCTGATTTGTCTGTTGGGGGCTGAACTTCCTCTCATTGATGCTTAAGCCTTTGCATCCTTCAATTAGTCATATAAGATACTAACTACTCCATCCGTCCGTAGTATATCCTCATAAGTTATTTTGCACAAATAAAGAAAAACTAATAAATAGATGTAAGAGAATAACGATTTTATAAAATTAACCTTATAATTAATTTACATAATAAATGAATGCAATTCAATAATCATTTTTTAAATAATATTATGAAGGGTATAAATGAAAAAAACATAATTAATACTACTTTGAAAAGCTAGTATAACACTTATTCTTAAAACTTTTTTTCCTTCAAACATGACATTTTTTATGCGAAAAAAGGAGTATAAATTAAGTTTTATTACTAAGTAAGTAAATTTCTGGTCTTCTAACTAGATGGATATGAAATAGTTGGTAACTATATTGAATAATCCCAGTGTAATGGTGCTTAATAAAGTTTATCTAGCATGTTAATGCCAATGGTTATTATAAGAGTAATGATCAGCGTAAAACTAGTGGATCTTAATGCTGTCCTTGTAGACATTAAAGAGTTTTAATTGGTGCAGGTATTTGAAGAGTGGACCTGGGAATCTTGAAAAAGATGTGGAGAGGAGGTTTAGTTATGCTTTAAGCAGAGAAGACATTGAGAATGCTGTACTTGGAGGACCATAGCCATTTTTTGTTTCTATCTGTTACATATACAACAATGGCTTAATTCCTTGTTGGAAATAGTTGGTCAATTCATATGTTGAATATTCAACTTTCATGACAGTTCTAAAGAAAGGACTAGAGAAAATGTCACCCTTGTTTACCCTCAAATTAAAATCATTGGTGCTTTTTGGGTGCGTACATTAAACTACAATACTAGTTTGTGTTAGTAGCATCACACTGCACAATTATGGAAATGTGTGAATACATGTTTAAAGAACAATGATTTAGTAATGGCGGGGTTAAGGGGCTTTATCCTTGTTGCTCTTTCCATTATTTGAGGAGAGCATGTATAATCTAAGATTCTTGTTAATTGATTTAACAAAATGTTCAATCAAAACATAAATTATAATTAATTATTTAATTCTCAAATTATTTCAAATAAGCTTGTGAACATTTGGAGCCTAAATTTTTTTATTTAATAACGTTTCTCAATATTTGTTTATTATATTAGTTGTTATAAGAAAATAATACTTTAAATAATTCAATGGTAAAATTATCAAAGATACTTTTGAAAAAATAAGTCTTATTTGTGCTTTTGCGAAGAATGACGTTACCATATAAGAAAATATTACGTCTCATTTAAAAAAAAAATTCTTTACAACTAATGTAAAAGATGAATACACAATAATATAAAAAAAATTGTTTTATACATCATTAATATCAAATTCAAAATGAGCAAATTAGATATGCATGACATATTAAAACGTTTACGGTAAGTTTTTTAATTTTCATAATAATTATAATTTATATTAAACTGAATTTTTAATTAGTTGATAGTGTAACAACTTTTACACGACTAATGCACACGAGTAAAGTCGTACAACTTTTTTTAACTAATAGTTAAAATTATCTCAATCATAAATAATTTTTTAAATAATTATTATAAAAATTAACAAATTTATCATATAATACATGATTAGACGACTATGAATGCATTTATGCTAAATTATATTTGTTTTTTCAAAACTATCAGAGAAAAAAACGCACTACGGACCTTCCTAATGAAAAAATGGGTTAGTTGCTTTTAATAGGGTGACCATTTTTTTTTCTTTGCATATACATATTTTTCTTATTTCACTATCAATTGATACATTTGTGAGAAAAAAAAAATAGACTATAAGATTATGTTACAAACGTCTTTAAAAAAAGTTAACATTTAAAGAATATTCTTTTTATATATTACTAATGAAGAAGTGGTAATACATGCCTCTATTATTTAAAAAAAAGGTAATGATTGATTAGTTAGAATTTAATGAAAAATAAAAAAGAAAATATAAATTAAATAAAAATAGTGGGGAGAGATAGTAGAAAATAGAGATTTGAAAGAAGTTGTAAAAATAAATATATATTACATATTAACTTATAAAGATATTTTGTATTTTCGTGAATTATTTTTTAAAAAATAAATAATAAAATTATATAATAATAACTGATTATTAAAAATATAGGTAATATGAAGTGAGATTTTTAGAAGATAAAAAAGTTATAAATCATAGATTATAATTTTAAAAGAAAAAAATCGAAATCAAGCGTCCTCAAATTAACACAAGTTTCAAAAGGCCAAAATTAGCGTATTTATCTAGCACAAGCATGTTCTAAGTAGCTCAGCTACAACCAATCTAATATCCGAGGGTTTTATTTAGCTAAGTGCTTTATCCGAAGTGTTTTATTTAGGGCAGAATAAGAATTATCGTAGCGTAAACAGCACAAAAAAATTTATGGTTCTTTTACCCTCTATCTGTGAATATTTTGACTAATTTTCATTGCACTCTCACTTAGTATTTCTACAACTAGAGCAGGGTAAAATATCCAGGTTTCGCTTTACAATGTCGTGTCATCAAACATAACCAAAGTAACAGTTTCAAATTCATGAAACCTTTTCCTCCGCGGACTCACCAATTTCCCAAGTTACAAGCCTTAGTTTCTTCAATTCGAAAATCTTTAGGATCCCCACAAAACCCAGTTCTTATTTTGGAACTTCTAGGCAAAGCGTTGGATCAATACCCAGATATCAAAACCTTGAAAAATGTCCATTCCAAAGTTTTTAATCTCAACTTTCACGAAAACCCGTCTCTGGGGATCAAACTCATGCGGGCCTATGCTGCCTGTGGAGAACCCGGGTTGGCACGCAAGGTGTTTGATGAAATTCCAGAGAGGAATGTTGTTTTCTATAATGTAATGATTAGAAGCTATGTGAATAACCATCGGTACAATGATGCATTGCTTGCTTTCAGGGACATGGTTAGTCTTGGGTTTGGCCCTGATAACTATACCTACCCTTGTGTCTTGAAGGCTTGCTCTTGCTCTGACAATTTGAGGTTTGGGTTGCAGCTTCATGGAGCTGTGATGAAGGTTCAGCTTGATTCGAATTTGTTTGTTGGGAATGGTCTCATTGCTTTGTATGGGAAGTGTGGTTGCTTGCTGGAGGCGCGGCATGTTCTTGATGAAATGCCAAGCAGGGATGTTGTTTCATGGAACTCGATGGTTGCTGGGTATGCACAGAATATGCGGTTCGATGATGCTTTGGAGATTTGCCGAGAAATGGAGGGTCTGAGGCAGAAACCAGATGCAGGTACAATGGCTAGTCTCCTGCCAGCAGTAACTAACACTTCGTCAGAAAATGTTCTGTATGTTAAGGAGATGTTTGTGAATATGGAGAAGAAAAGTTTGGTTTCATGGAATGTGATGATAACTGTATATATGAAAAACTCAATGCCTGGAAAAGCTATTGATCTATATTTACAAATGGAGAATTTTGAAGTGGAACCAGATGCAATCACTTGTGCTAGTGTTCTTCCAGCATGTGGGGATCTCTCAGCTTTGTTGTTAGGAAGGAGGATTCATGAATATGCTGAGAGGAAGAAGCTATGTCCAAATTTGCTTCTTGAGAATGCACTGATAGACTTGTATGCTAGGTGTGGATGTCTAGAAGAAGCGAAAAAAGTGTTTGACAGAATGAAGTTTCGTGATGTTGCATCATGGACTTCCTTGATATCTGCCTACGGTATGACTGGACAAGGCCATAAAGCTGTGACACTCTTTACTGAAATGCTAAATTCAGGTCAAACTCCAGATTCTATTGCCTTCGTCGCAATTCTCTCGGCTTGTAGCCATTCGGGATTACTAAATGAAGGAAAGTTTTACTTTAAGCAGATGACAGATGATTACAGAATAACACCAAAAATTGAGCACTTTGCTTGTTTGGTGGATCTTTTGGGACGAGCTGGGCAAGTAGATGAGGCCTATAACTTCATCAAACAGATGCCAATGGAACCTAATGAAAGAGTTTGGGGGGCTCTGCTTAGCTCGTGCCGGGTGTACTCCAACATGGATATTGGACTTCTAGCAGCTGACAAACTACTTCAGTTGGCTCCTGAGCAATCAGGTTACTATGTATTGTTATCTAATATTTATGCAAAGGCTGGTAGATGGACAGAAGTAACAGCTATTCGATCCCTAATGAAGAGGAGAAGAATTCGGAAAACGCCTGGCATCAGCAATGTTGAGCTGAATAATCAGGTCCACACCTTTCTTGCCGGTGACACGTCACACCCACAATCAAAGGAGATATATGAAGAGCTAGGTGTGCTGGTGGGGAAGATGAAAGAGTTGGGTTATGTCCCTGAGACAGATTCTGCTCTTCATGATGTGGAGGAGGAGGATAAAGAATGCCATCTAGCTGTTCACAGTGAGAAATTAGCTATTGTATTTGCTATTCTCAATACCAGGGAGTCCCCAATCAGAATCACCAAAAACCTTCGTGTTTGTGGAGATTGTCATATTGCTGCCAAGCTTATCTCCAAGATAGTTCAACGTGAAATTGTTGTTAGGGACACCAATCGATTCCACCATTTTAAGGATGGTATATGCTCTTGTGGTGATTATTGGTGAAGCTACTTGAGGCAGAAGCAAACTGCAATTTGACAACGTCAATGGCATATGATGGCGGATAATTCTTTTATTTCTTAATTTTAACTTATGAGCGAAGATTAGTTTATTGTAACATTTTTTTTTTCATATGTATTTATTGAGAAGTTTATTCAAACTGGCCAAATGTATTTTATAGGAATTTTTTCTGATTGGCACAAGTAACTTCATTTCATTTAGAAGAGCTTAATGGTGTGTTTGGATGAGGAATTTATATGGGGTAATTCATTTATTTGAAGAATTTCAAATTTTTTGAGGTGAAATGCTTTGCTTGGATGAGGAATTTACAAAGAATTTGAAATCCAATCATTTGTAAAATTTCTTAAAATAGTAGAGTTTCAAATTCTCCCAAAAATGGGAGAATTTGAAATTCCTCATATTTGTTTTTCTTATTTCACCTATATATTTTATCTTATCTCTTCATTTTTTTAATTATTAGATATTCAAAAATATTTTTAAAATTGTTAAACATTATCTAATATTAATTGTTAAAATTATTAAATATTATCTAATATTAATTTTTAAAATTAATAAATATTTAAAAATGGATTAATATTTATTTTTATAAAATTTAATTTAAAAATCTCAACATATAAATATATTTTTAAAATCAATTTTACTATGATGGAATAAAATTATCATATTCAACCTAACAATTTAAAATTTAAGAAATTTGAATTGACTCATCCAAACAAAATATTTTAAGAATAATAGAAATTGAAATCAAAGTAATTCAAATACCAAGAATTTAAAATTCCTTGAATTTGTAAAATTCCTCGTCCAAACACACTATTAAGACTTTGGATTTTGGATCTTTGCATAGCAAAATTAAGAATTAAAATTGGGTAAGGCTGCAGTATACAACATGTTACTTTTTATGTTTTGATGAGTTTCTGGATCTACTTGGATGGAAATGACTGACTAGATCACAACAGTCAATCTTATAAGGATTGGCAGGACAGGTAAAATTCTTCTGTCATCTATGAAGACGATGATGAGAAAATCCCTTCCCATGACAGATACTAAAGTTGTATTAGCACATATATTTCACCTTGAAAAATACAGGTATATGTTTAAGTTGCCATATGTTAAGAAGGAATTCAACTTTTAAAAGTCCCGATTGCATAATGACTGTATATATAATATAAAGTCTGATAGGTCAGTTTGACGAACCTGCATATACAGCTAGGTTGGGACTTAGAAAGGATGATTTAAATAAAATCAGGTCTTTTTGATTTAGCCTACTAAGTCTAACAAGTCAAATGAATCAAAATTGGATTGATTTACATACTTCTCCGATAAATTAATAATAGAATAATTTGAACTATTGCCAATTTGCATGTCTATAGTATGTTATAAAATAATATAATATAATTAATAGTAATAGTTTTTTCAATTTTTTTATGTTTGCTACTAGAGTTGTGATTACAAACTTAGACTTAGGGTTAGTTGTTATGAGAGCTTTGTCCCTCTTATTGCATTCTTGATGATTTGATCTTGTAATTTATCATTTTTGTTCCGTTTGTCAATGAAGACGAAGATGCAACCACAGCTTCTACCAAAGCCAAAAATTTGACTTGAAGGGGCCAAATTTTTTTAACACTTATATATAAATATTTTAACATCATAAATAATTTATTATCATTTTTTTTTATCTCTCTTTCTATCACATTATATATCTGTCTTATATATATTTCTCTAATTTTCTTTTTCTAAGTGTAAACTAATATGATAATTTTCATCTATCAATTTATATTATTTTTATGAATTTTAGAGGGGCCAAAAAAAATTTTAAAATAATTTTGGGGGAGGGAACTTGGAAGCTTAAGTCCTTCCCTCCATCCTTGAAAGTAAGAGTAGGGGTATTAATGAGGAAGACCAAGATACTAAAAAAACTATTAAAAAAAAACTAAGTTTAATATCACTAAGGTATGAAATAAGTATGAAAAAGTTAGTCTAGTTGATGAGTAGATAAATACAAATGCAGTGGTTACGAAAAATTTTATACATATAAAGTTATTAGATGTTTTGTGATAGTATATAGTATCAATTTATCATATTTAATTTTTTTTCATTGTAAAAAAATAGGTTAAATTTTTTAAAATGTATTTTTTAATTTTTTAAAATATATTCAATTTGGCTTAATGTGAGTCATGTTGGACAAAAAAATAGCAATTTAAAAAATACAAGTTAGATCATCTTAATCTAAAATAACATTTGATTCATATAGACCAGGATGCGTTAGGTTGGTGCAACCTATTTGACACCTCTATGTGTATTTGGCTTGAAAAAAAAAAAGATTAAAATTTAATTAAATGGTTAAAGTAATTATTTTGTAGATAAATGCACTTTTGTCGACTCGTCTATATTATTCAATTTTCCCCCTACCACATTCAATTATATGCTAACATGTAATAATATAATTATGAAAATCAAGCCATTTTACTTTTTCTTTTGTCATGGTAAAATATTAACCGATTTTATTAAAAAATTAATTAAACACTTTTAATAAATTCTTTCCTTTTAATAAAATTTTTTCATCTATATAATTTGAATTTGAAACTTTAGTTAAAAAAATAAAAAATTAAGCCAATTTATCTCGAATCAAAGGTGTTAAAACTCCATTTTCTCGAATCAAGAATTTATTTTTGTCGTACTCGGAAGTATCCGCACACTTTTTTTTTTCATGTTATATATAAAGTAATCTTAATCTCATATTATTCTTATAGTGTGTTTGGATGAAGAATTTTACAAATTCAAGAAATTTTTAATTCTTGGTATTTGAATTATTTTGATTTTAATTTCTATCATTCTTAAAATATTTTATTTGGATGAGTCAATTCAAATTTCTTAATTTTTCAATTATTAGGTTGAATATGATAATTTGATTCTACCATAGTAAAATTAATTTTAAAAATATATTTATATGTTGACATTTTTAAATTAAATTTTATAAAAATAAATATTAATCCATTTTTAAATATTTAATAATTTTAAAAATTAATATTAGATAATATTTAATAATTTTAAAATATTTTTGAATATCTAATAATTAAAAGAATGAAGAGATAACATAAAATATATAAGTGAAATAAGAAAAACAAATATGAAGAATTTCAAATTCTCTCATTTTTGGGAAAATTTGAAATTCTACTATTTTAAAGAATTTCACAAATGTTTGGATTTCAAATTCTTTGTAAATTCCTCATCCAAACAAAGTATTTCACCTCAAAAAATTTAAAATTTTTCAAATAAATAAATTATCCTAGATAAATTCTTCATCCAAACACACCATTAATTTATTTGACGTTTGAGTTTCTACAAAATTACCTATTGGCAATTGGGTTCTAATATTCATCTATCCCATTAGGAACTTTACTCTTGGCCCATCTCATGGGTTCCTACTTCTAGCCTAATTTCCTTCACATCCATACTTGTCATACCAATTCTATACTAAGGCTAAATAGACGTGAAAAAAAAAAAAAAAAAAAAAAGAACTTAAAAATTGACAATTTTTTTTCTCGAAAAGGACTAAATTAAAAAATTCAGGGATTAAAAACTTGTTTTACCCTTCCAGAATTGTATTTATTAGTGTGAAGTTGAGTTTGAGATTGTGACATCTAATTGGACTAGAAACCTTAATATAATAATTACAAATATAAATGTGATGATATATATTAATAAATCATAATTAATTTGATTGTTGATGTTCACATAGTTATTTAAAAGATGTTAAGTCATATCATACGTATAATTTTATTATCCGTTCATAGTCATATAATATCTTTTATTTTTAAAAAGAATGTTTAATTATATATTTACAAATAAAAAAATTACATGTGTCATATGATCTGACATCTACTAAATAATTATATAAATATTAATAATTAAATTAACTATGATTTATTGGCATACATTGTCACTTAACAAATGAAAATTGACCCTAAAGACTTTTATTGAAAAAAAAATTAATGAAAAAATAAAAGTTAAAAGAAAATTTATCATCAAATTCTTAAAAAGTTTTAAAGATTAAAAACTTTATTTTTACCACCGATTAAAAACTTATTTAACCCAAGGATTATAATTTTGTTGTTCCTAACATGGGTCTAAGCCTGGATTCATGTCCAATTAATTAGACGAAAAAGTATTAACAAAGCTAACCTCTTTATTATCAAATAATGGCTAAATTATATATAT